GGTTTTTATATACTTTGTACCATGACACGCATAAATTCATTAGAAATGAACGTATCCATGGGTACCATTTAGTTTTCGAACAATTTTCACGTTCTTAATTAATCAATTAACTACTATACTTTTATCGAAATTACTTCTAATTGAATATGCCTAGTTTTGTTTATCGAATAAAAAGAATGACATATTCTATTTCTAGACGCCTCTATTAATTTTTAAGGGTCTTCTTTATCTCTCCACTACCAAATTTCATTTAGAAAAGCTGAATCATCACCAAAGCCACTACTCCAAGACCGACGAATAAACCTATTAAATTGGATCTTAGAATTGACGCCCCGCTTTTGCTATTTTAAATATTTAAAAGGAATAATTAATATTATGAAAAAAACATTTTACATTTAAAGGTTATTATTGATATAATAATTTAACTTACGATGGCGTAGTAGTAGTAGCAGCGGTTGTGGCTCCAGTGTTACCTCCAGTAGTGGTAGGAGAAGCAGGCGTAGTAGCAGCTCCAGTGTTGCCTCCAGTAGGGGCAGGGACATCCGAAGAAGAAGAGTTGCGATCAATAACTTGGAATATACCAGAGTTTACAGTAGCGCTACCATCATTAATCTCAAAGAAATAGTTGCCGGGTATAACGTTAACTACCCATGCTTTATTGTGAGTGGGGTTGGTAAGATTTGCCTTGTCGTCTATCATGGTGATATTATTGTTGTCCGTGTTACGTATATCAATAATGCCTAAAGTTGTGGGTGCAGGATCACTCACGCTCCAGGTGATAAAATATGAGACACCGATAAATAATGGCCTTGTCGGAGTGACGACAGTGATGGCTGCATAGGAGGAGAAAGAAATATTGTTAAATCGAAGCTCTTTGATTTATGCTCTCTAGCAAAAATTAGGAATTTTCGTAATTAATCAAGTTATGGTCGTGCTACTTCGACAATCAAATAAAAACTTCAACAATTTTTCTCCCATAAATTATATAACCAAACAAAATAAACATAACGAAAGAAATTGTCTCGTACTTCGATCTCATGACAAAAAAAAACGAATGCGAAAAAAACTTATATACGTTAATACATACTGGCAGCAGCATAAGAGGCAATGAGGGCAACAGTGAGAGTTGCAACAAAAACAGCTTTAGTAAGGCGGTTCATTGTGTATATTATATTAGTATTATAGTAATGGTGGTCGTAAATGCTAACTAATGATTCTTTGTCAACAGTGTTGAAGGATTAATGAGAAGGAACTAAGAGTATTTATATATTTCAAAAAAAAAAAAAAAGGCGCCAAGAAAAGAAATTTTCTTTTTTCTTTTTTCTGAAATGAAGACAAGAATGGTGTGCGATTTAAATAATCGAAATTGCGAGAGGCATGCTTCAGGGGCGATTGTCCTCCATCTACTATCTATGTGCAACCCATTCTACATGTTGCCTATATATGACACACAAGAGTGCACAAAATTTATCGAGTAAACATGTATTAGGGGATTAGTATTAAATGATTAGGCAAGGAGAGATTGCACAATCTTGATGTAATGTTCTACTAATCCAGTCAAGTTACACAAGTATATAGCGCACACGTTCGTTATGTGGAAGTGCAGTTGGGAAACTGGAATGTTGCCATAGAGAACTAGTCTAATCAAGTGGTTTGTTTCATACAAAAAAAACATTGTTTACAATAATTGCGCGAAAAAAGGTTAGTTTTGATTTAGAGTTGGAAAGGTTTCTGAGGAATAGGAGGTTTCGTAGTTTACTGAAAAATAATGAAACTGAAACTTCAAAACTATAGAGATTAGTTAGCATGCAAAACTTAAATTTAGTGATACGTGACATGCGCTGAAGCAGTGAAATCATTGAAATCGGAAATACAACGGGTCCGAGAGAGGAATGTCCAATGCATTGGTAACACATAATCTTCTGTGGCCAGACTGATGTAACAATTAAAAATGTATGGGTGACACACTCGTTTTTATGACCGAATCTTATTATTACTTACTTATTCAATTGTTACTATTGTCACTGTGCAATTCTTACAATTTTCGCGCAACTAACCTAACCTTTAAAGACATTAGCCGTTTACGGCGATCTCACATGATCGGCCTTGAAACCAGAGAAAGATGAAATACGAAATCCTCCGTACATTGTATATATGCTTATGTCTTAGGCGCACCGATAGTTAAGACGGATAGTTACTATTAAATTTTCAACCAAACAAATGACCGCGCTTATCGATTTTCTTTTTAGTAACGATCCTACGGAATCAATTGTCATCTCACCAGGAAAACAAAAAGTCGATTTTTTTTTTTCCCGAAATATAGACATTTTCCATTTGTATTATCAGCCGATTTCCTTATTCTATGTTCATTTGAGCATAACGATAATTTGTGTGAACTTGTTAGTAACCCTTATGCCAGTTCTAGGGTGCACCACAATGCAATTTTATTCATGCATACATCAACCACCAAAATTGATACAATTGAAAATTCCACAATGGACTCTGCGTTACATTGCATAAATCATAACGTAATTCAAAATGTCGTTATCCATTAAGTCCCTTAATTAACAATTATTAATTAAATAGTATAATTTCTTTTGTATCCTTCTCTACCTTCCGAAATAATCCATCCAACCGTAACCAAAAAATCTCATTTGTTTTTCATTAATATAACGAGTAAAACGTTGATTGTTTTTTCTTTTGCAAATGGTGAATTCATCGACTCTAACAAGGACTGTTTGTTAGACACAAATAATCAATTGTAAATAAAAGCAAAAATAGTTTATAACATCACCCTCAAATAACATAAGATAAAGAAAACAAACTTGATAGTTTTAGTTGAATAGCATACAAGGTAGCTATTTTAGGTTCAAAAGGAAAAAATTTTTTTATTTTTTTTTTTAAATAATATATATATACTGTAAAAAGCATTCATCATAATATAATTCAAATTACTGTATTTCATACAATATATCAGTTGTTCCTCTAAAAATACTGTATGTTCAAGAAATTTCGTCAAAAAAAAAACGTTATCAGAAAAACAAACTAAAAAAATCGCAAGACATCGTTATTGCTAACATGTTGTCTTGGGTACTTAAAAA